TGCCATTCCATCGAGAAAGTCTAAAAGGAAAAAAAATAATCAACACATACCGTATTTGCTTTAATAAATGCGCCCCCCTCCCCTCGACCAACTTTCAACGCTTCGTTCTTAGCTTCATTTTGAAATACTTTTATGCTTTATATACCAAAAGATTGAAGGCATTAAGGGCTATCTTTTGGTATATTAAACATAAAATCTCTCAAAATGAGGGCTGAGGAACAAAGGTCCAAATTTGGTCAAGGGAGGCATTAATTAGAGGAAATACGATAAGTTACGGTAGGTGATAAAAGCTCACTTCAGGTAATCCAGGAATGTGGCCTTGATTGAGGCTCGAGAGAGGAGTCAGGAGGTTTCGTTGAGCCATCTTGTCGGGTTGAAGTCGAGAAGAATGATGTCCATTCGACAAAAACGATTCCTTTTATTTGACGGATTAATGCTAATTTCAGGAGTTTCTGATGCAAATTCAGAAAAAAGAGACATTATGTTAATTTTAAATAAAAATTGTAAGGGTTTGACTAATTCTTAACATTTTAGAACATTACGAGCAATTCAAGCGTCTACGCGACAAACTGATAAATGAGCCAAAAAATCTATCTCTTGAGGAGAAGCTGAAAGTGTGCACAGAAATTGGAAAGGTTAGTTATGCTTTATAGACTTAACGTTTTTTTGTTTAGATCTATCAACTGATGAAAACGTTAAGTCAAAAGAAAATTCGTTTGACGGAGAGTGTCGAACAAATTCTACGACTTATTGCTAATAAGGTTAGCTGTATTTTGAACAAAAGTTAAAGTTTGGTGATTACAATTTAGGTGACAAAGGACCAACTTCAGTTCAAATGGGATTTAGAAGCAGAGAATCCGCGGTGTACGGAGGCTATTGAGTCAAGTTGCTTTTTTTTCGAAAAATTTGGCTTTTAGATTTTATCGCCTCGCTTCAAGCAAGACACGCCAAAAAATCATGACATAAAGCAAACGGTGGTCGACCCTTCACTTTTCAGCGATTCTGCGGGATTTCTTTATATCTTCGCCAACCTCTAGGGAGTTTAAAATTTGTTTGCTTATCTTAAATTATAATTTAGGACCTTGGAAATAATGGTGGCTTCTTGTCTTATTTCAAAACATCTCTGACAGGTGGGCTGTTTTTGCGTTTTCCATTTTAAGTTTACTTTAAGGGTCCACCTGGAAAGAACAAGGGTCGCAAAAATGCATAGCAATGATGCGAGCAGCCAAGCGAGCCTGATTCGTGATGAAGACTCGATTTCAAACTTCCTTGCCGGTTGGTTGTTTATAAATCATTTAGATCGCACACAAATGCTATTAGGAGTAACCGAATTAAGTAAATTGCTATATTTTAAATTTTGTAACGCTGTTATGATACAACAGACCTTTTTCTATCAAAATATTGTTTTAAGATGAGGATATAAACGATTTGGATGATACCCCTCAAATGCCATCTCCTCCACGGGAAATGCTCGATATTATCAAGGTTAGTAATAGCTAATTTATTCAATTGGAATAAAAGAGTTCTAGGACGATCCCGGATCAATCTTCAATTACGATAGTGAGCTGTCAATGTTCTTCCATCGCCAGTGAACGGCTATTCAAAATTATATGCCAAGAGTTGCCAGGTAAGCTAAATATTATTCGGCTAATAAATATTCTGCAGGGAAGGATCCGGATCTCTTCATATTGGGTGATCGGAAAAAGCGTTTTCCTTGGCATGTGAGTCTTCATGGTCGTCATCGAAGGTTAGCTTAGGGTTGGAGGGCTTAATGAAGAAGGAGCAGATTAACTATATGTGTGGAAGAGATGTTGAGGGAGAAACGAGAGAAAGATCAACGAAAGCGACCACATCCACGAGAGACGAGGAACATTTTGGAGGTTATTTCGGGTTTTTGAAACGAGGTCGTTTTTATTGAATCTGTAATATTAGTACAACGCTTGATCTGCCATGATTTTGAGTGCCAAATAAAATTTTGTATTGTGTTGAATGGTTTCATTATCATTTCGAATATACTGCGAATGGTTGGGTTTTCAAATGGAAAATTTGTCGTGTGCCTAAGTATTCAATAGTCACCTGTGTTTGATGTTCTCGCTCGTGACATCCCAAGGCCACGAAAACAAATTGACCGCGTAACAAGTTAGAAACTGACTCCCGAACGAGAATCTGAACACGGGATGAAACTCAAAGAAGTTATAAATAAGCTTACAGTTGGTGGGGAAAATGTTGGATGCAATCCCACGCGATCATGATGCAAATACAAGAGCTAACGAGTCGTCGGTCTTCCACACCTTTAGAAACTGGGTCAAAAGCCTAAAATAGCAGATGCATAATTACGTTATCAGGTAAAACTACCTGTTGAACTGTTTCTTGAAGTGTTCCGTGATAAAAGTTGAGTGGAGGCTTTGAAGAAATACACACCATTTCGATATCTAAGATTCGGATTAAGTTTCAAAAACAAAAATTCGGTATTACCTGACATCAATAATTGTGATGAAATTGTTGATAGCTTCATAAATGTCGCCATAATCCTTGGGAATAAGTGGAACCGTGTATTCATTCCGTTGAGATTCCCGCAATCATGTCATCATCATCTGTGGTTGATAAGCATAGGGACTTGTATCCTGAACATTCAGAGATTAATTAGATTGATTTTTTAGCCAACCATATGGCTATCATCATCGTCGTGAACCAATTCACGACGCCTGTGCTGACGTTTCTGCTGTCATGCGGCCTTCTCGTCCATTCGCTTGTCGTCCACGTGTACGATCTACCACTGAAGACGACGACGGTTGTTCAACTAAACAGATTCAGATCAAAACAACGCAAAAATCGAACAATAATGTGTCACAAAACGAACCAATATGTGTAGCTGCATGATAAGTTTGTCGTGTTCGTGGAGCCAATTCCGGAACGATTGCTTCAATATCAGGAGAAGGAGTAGCTCGTGCCAGTGGAAACTCGATGATAGCAATATCGTCCTCCTCAGCGCTAAATTTTAAATAAAATAAAAGAGAATTTTGCAGTAATTTTGCGTTTCAGATTTTCAATTTCAATAAACTGCAACAATCTAACAAAATCGTAAAACCTATGAATCTCAAAAAATAATACAAGGCGACGAAGATGACGAGCATGATGATGAGGACTCACACACCGTTTGGTGTTCTGCAAAAAGCTCATCTGATGGAGAAATGATCTACTGTGAAAACGAAAAGGTACTTTATTATTTGTTGAGAATTTAGGGTCAATTCAACTTTTACTGGGGAATACACTATATTCGTTTTCAAGTGCATTAGCACATCTTAGGAATAAAAAATATAGATTTTGATTTATATATTTAGTGTCGTATTCAATGGTTCTACTTTGAATGTGTCGGATTGAAGCAGGTACCGATTGGTCATTGGTTTTGCCAGGTGCCGACAACGACGTCAAGAATCATCTTTTTCGGAATTCCTATTTCTGAGGGTACTTTTCTATCCGATTGTTTTTTCTTTATTAATTCGTTTTGTGAGTCTCTAAAACGTGATATACTTTTTTCTTTTTGAACATATCTATTTGCCTATTTACCTTATATTATGGCTCCACGAACCAGACAAACTTATCATGCAGCTACACATATTGGTTCGTTTAGACACATTATTCGTACCGATTTTTATATTGTTTTGATCTGAATCTGTTTGAAGTTGAACAACCGTCGTCGTCTTCAGTGGCAGATCCGTACACGTGGACGACGTGCGAATGGACGAAAGCCGCATGACAGCAGAGTCGACAGCATAGGCGTCGGGAATTGGTTCACGACGATGATGATAAGGTGATATGGTTGGCTAAAAAATCAATCTAATTAACTTCGAATGTTCAGGATACAAGTCCCTATGCTTATCAACCAGATGATGATGAGCATGATTGCGGAATCTCAACGGAATGAATACACGGTTCCACTTATTCCCAAGGATTATGGCGACATTTATGAAGCTATCAGCTTAATTTCATCACAATTATTGATGTCAGGTAATACTGAATTTTTTGTTTTTGAAACTTAATCCGAATCTTAGATATCAGAAATGGTGGTATCTCTTCAAAGCCTCCACTCAACTTTTATCACGGAACACTTCACGAAACAGTTCAACAGGTAGTTTTACCGGATAACGCAATTATGCATCTGCTATTTTAGGCTTTTGACCCAGTTGGTAAAGGTGTGGAAGACCGACGACCGTTAGCTCTGTATTTGCATCATGATCGCGGGATTGCATCCAACATTTTCCCACCAACTGTAAGTTTATTTATAACTTTTTTGAGTTTCATCCCGTGTTCAGATTCTTTGCTCCGAGTCAGTTTCCTAACTTGTTACGCCTTGGTCAATTTGTTTTGTAGCCTTGGGATGTCACGGGCAGGAACATCAAACACAGGTGACTATTGAATACTTAGGCACACGACAAATTTTCCATTTGAAAACCCAACCATTCGCAGTATATTCGAAATGATAATGAAACACATTCAACACAATACAAAATTTTATTGGCACTCAAAATCATGGCAGATCAAGCGTTGTACTAATATTACAGATTCAATAAAAACGACCTCGTTTCCAAAGCCCGAAAAATAACCTACAAAATAATTAATAGTCTCGTGGATGTGGTCGCTTTCGTTGATCTTTCTCTCGTTTCTCGCTCAACATCTCTTCAACACGCGTAGTTTAATCTGAATCACTTATTAATTAAAGCCCTCCAAACACTAAGCTAACCTTCGTTGACGACCATGAAGACTCACATCTGAGGAAAAACGCTTTCCGATCACCCAATATGAAAGAAGAATCGGATCGCTTCCCTGCAAGAGAAAAATATATATTAGCCGAATAAATATTTGGCTTACCTGGCAACTCTTAGCATATAATTTTTGAATAGCCGTTCACTGGCGATGGAAGAGAGCATTGACAGCTCACTATCGTAATTGAAGATTGATCAGGATCGTCCTAGAACTCTTTATTACAATTGAATAAATTAGCTATTACTAACCTTGATAATATCAGGCATTTCACGTGGAGGAGATGGCATTTGAGGAAGATATCATGCAAATCATTTATATCCTCATCTAAAAACAATATTTTGATAGAAAAGGTCTGTTGTATCATAACAGCGTTACAAAATTTAAAAATATAGCAATTTACTTAATTCAGTTACTCCTAATAGCATTTGTGTGCGATCTAAATGATTTATAAACAACCAACCGGCAAAGGAAGTTTGAAATCGAGTCTTCATCACGAATCGAGCTCGCTTGGCTGCTCGCATCATTGCCTTGCCCATTTTGCGACCCTTGTTCTTTACAGGTGGACCCTAAAGTAAACTTAAAATGGAAAACGCAAAAATAGCCCACCTGTCGAGATGTTTTGAAATAAGACAAGAAGCCACCATTGTTACAAGGTCCTAAATTATAATTTAAGATAAGACAAAACAAATTTTTAAAAACTACCTAGAGGTTGGCGAAGATATAAAGAAGATCCATAAGAATCGCTGAAAAGTGAAGGGTCGACTACCGTTTGCTTTATGTCATGATTTTTTTGTGATGTCTTGCTTGAAGCGAGGCGATAAAATCTAAAAGCAAAATTTTTCGAAAAAAGCAACTTGACTCAATAGCCTCCGTACAACCCGGATTCTCTGCTTCTAAATCCCATTTGAACTGAAGTTGGTCCTTTGTCACCTAAATTGTAATCACCAAGCTTTAACTTTTGTTCCAAAATACAGCTAACCTTATTAGCAATAAGTCGTAGAATTTGTTCGACACTCTCCGTCAAACGAATTTTCTTTTGACTTCACGTTTTCATCAGTTGATAGATCTAAACAAAAAAACGTTAAGTCTATAAAGCATAACTAACCTTTCCAATTTCTGTGCACACTTTCAGCTTCTCCTCAAGGGGATAGATTTTTGGCTCATTTATCAGTTTGTCGCGTAGACGCTTGGATTGCTCGTATTGTTCTAAAATGTTAAGAATTAGTCAAACCCTTACAATTTTATTTAAAATTAACATAGTGTCTCTTTTTCTGAATTTGCATCAGAAACTCACTAAAATTAGCATTAATCCGTCAAATAAAAGGAATCGTTTTTGTCGAATGGACATCATTCTTCTCGACTTCAACCTGACAAGATGGCTCAACCAAACATGACTCCTTTCTCGATGGTCAATCAAGGCCATATTCCTGGATCAGCTGAAGTGAGCTTTTATCACCTACCGTAACTTATCGTATTTCCTCTAATTAATGCCTCCCTTGACCAATTTGGACCTTCGTTCTCAGCCCCATTTTGAGAGATTTTTATGTTTAATATACCAAAAGATAGCCCTTAATGCCTTCAATCTTTTGGTATATGGAAGCATAAAAGTATTTCAAAATGAAGCTAAAACGAAGCGTTGGTTGGTCGAGGAAGGGGGGGCGCATTTATTAAAGCAAATACGGTATGTGTTGATTATTTTTTCTTTTTAGACTTTCTCGATGGAATGGCAGAAAGGTGACTTTCATCTCGTTTTCCACGGATGCAATAACGGTACAACTCAAGAGCCACTGGTGGGTTTTGATTTGCTTATCTCTATTGATGTTATTACCTGAAAACTTTAGTTTATCGCAACTGCCGAAGAAGAAGAACGCAAACTGGTGATTGAGAACAAGAAGAGCGAAAGGTTCGCCTTGAGGTTCGTATTAACCCTATTCTATCGTTAATATTTGTTTATTTCTTAGTTTCGATAAATATCTGTTTTCACTGAGTTGTTTTGATATAGTCCTCATAATGATTTCACAACAATATTTTGCTCATTTTTTGTTAAGGTTGTCGTGCCTGAAGGGTGCGATTGATGTCACCGCCAAGCTTCGAAGTGAGCAAGGAAAATCCCATGCAACTTTCATTCGTCGGACACAGTAAATTTTTACGTAATCCGTTGTCTTAATACCTTAAAGGATTAATTTATTTGTTTGTTTGTAAAAGTTAGCTTATTGATGTATTTCTTTAGTTGTGGTCAGGGAGAATACCCTGAAGGTGAAACTTCGCATTTGGAAAGCTAACCAGGTAATTTTTGTTTATCTATTAGTTTTACTGTTCTTTATTTTTTATCTCTGATATTTATTTATTTTATAGCTTTCTACTTGGAGCCTGAGGAACTTCCCATGAAGGTGTGCGTGCTCAAACAAGGCGACAAGGAAAACGTTCCTCAATGAGATCGACAAAAAATGGAATGATTCCGCACATTTTTAGTAAAAAATTGGGTTAGGTGTAATAAATTTGATTTTTTATAAACGTTTTGAGAAATGAAACCACACCTCACAAACAAGCCGATATAGCGGGATTTGTATGGGGCTTCCATACAAATGCCCGTCTACCGGAATTTCTATGGGACCTCGGCGATTTCCGCGATTGTTCTGTTTTTCAACAATCCGAGATCTCTTAGGCAATTTCTCTGAGAATCGGATTCTGTATGGGAGTGCCATACAGGACCAGGCAGTTCATCAAACTACAATTTCATATACGTCCTGCTTTGCTTGGGGCAATTTCCCAGGCAATTTTCGATCCGCCAATTATTCAAATAGAATCTCTATTCTGTGTTGTACGAATTACAGAAGAAAAAATCATAAATGATGCTCATCAATTTCGCTTCTTTGCCGTCGCTGCTGAAAGTGCAGATCTTGGAGAAATTGCAAATATTTGAGGCACTACAATTGCTAAAAGTGAACCATGATCTACGCTTTTTCGTTCTATTCTCCGGCCCAATTAGTCGCAGGGTTAATATCAATTTTCTGCTTGAAAACGCAAGAATGGACAAGAATAACAATAGGATTGTGGTCACTAACTTGCATATTTTTGTTTTCATCACGACAATTATCATGCCATTTTTACGTTCTATTTTTCTAGTTCCCAAGCAAAACGACGAAAGCGACGTACTATTGCGTGTTGGATCAGGCATGACCATGTCGGTGAACCCACTGCACAAACGATTCTTCCAAAAGCTCATTAATTTTAATTCGTTGCACATAACTTGTGGTGACATAAACCCTTTGACCCCAGGAAAGTTTGTGGTGGACCACTTTTGCCAATTGTTATGAGGAAGCTTGTCGAGAGGTGTCCTTCCAATTCAATGGTGATGCATTTGTCACTGGATCTCTTCTATCAAAATATAGGCACGTTCAAGCGAGAATTTCAGCGTCTTTTTCATTTGAAACCTGGACTGGCGATCATGAAATTCTTCGAGAATCTCTTGTGCTATTCATGAAGAGTCGTTCGTCACACTGTGAACCCCTTTATTTCGGTGATCTTCCCATTCGTTTTATCAAAGAAGTTCTCCCTTTTATGTCCGAAAGATAATCCTCGAACTAGCCCACGGTAATTGGGAGCATTTCGCGGATTGTCTCAAATTTTTTATCAGAAACAATTGTTTCCACGAAAAACTTTCAATAGTTTTTCACGGACATCCAGGGAACACGCGTACATTGAGGTGCGAACAACTCATTGCACTTTTTCCTGGAGTTTCAGCTTTTGCTTCTTGAAAGAAAGATTTCAGATGATAAGGAGATGCTAGTCTTTCATGGACCTCCTCTATTTCTCGCTATGAAATCTTGATGCGTTTTGACACTAAGTGGTCATTGGTTCATCTTCTTATAAAGATTCGTTAAAAGCTCAATTCATTGATTCTATTTTGTTATTGAAAACACATTGTTCCTCATCTCAACATTTCAACAGTTCAAACTTGATGAATCAGTGAAGTCTTATATTTAAGTAATGAGTAAATATCATGATTGTTGATTGTTGATTGATTGATTGTTGTTTGACTTGTTGTTCACTGTTTATTTATAAGTTCTGATCACAATAAAGTTGATTCAAAATTTCTCAAGCAACAAAATGAACACTTACAGGGTTTCCCATTCAAAAACGAGAAAAAGCGAAAAAGGGACAGTTTTTATGTGTACTCATCACAAAAAAACTTTTCACTATTTGTGAAAATTCGAAAAAATGAGAAAAGCTTTGCAATTTTTGATTTCTTTTTGGTAAAAACGGGGGGGAGAAAGGTCGGAAACGATATTTGCCTCTTTTGGAAAACAGTGCTAAAAAACTTGTAAACGCATCCCTTCTGGTGCACTGAATCCTTTACTTTTCTCTCATCATCAAGCCATTATCACAAAGAAAAGTGAGGATTTCAATGCGCAAATGAAGCGTTTACAAATTTGAGAGCATCAAGGAAACTAGTAAAAACTGAGTGATTAAAAAATTGATAATATAATTATCAAATCAAATGGGGCATAGACTGATTAAATATTGGAATGAAGAGGGCAAATAAAGGAGAAAAGGATCACTTTTTTGTCTGAATCAGAGGGAAGAGTTTTGTAGTGATTATTGTTGGTTTAGATATAATCTTTATTACAGCAATAATAGTTGGTTCAGTGGTTTGGTATTGGGAGAGTAGAGGCACTCCACGGCACACACCTCGGCAGCTCGTTCACATTGCTTTTATACGGAACTCGGGCGTTCGTCTCGTCAGAAAAATTGTGCAGAAAAATCTTTCATTTTTCATGTATCAAATTAAGAATATATTAATAAAATATCTAAATCTAAAAAAAAAAAGTCTTATCCTTAATTTTCTTATACAGGATGGCTACAAAGTATTGCGACAAATCAAAAGGCCATTATATTAGGCTGGGAAGGTGAAAATGAAAATTTCTTGCACTGTATTTTTCTAAAAAACCAAACCACACATTTATTCAAGATAGTCACCATTATTATCTATTATTCGTTGCCATTTATTGGGTAGAGCATGAATCCCCTTCTCCCAGAAATTCTTGGGCTGTGCGTCAAAGAAGTCGTAGACCAATTTTGACCTCGACACGATCTCCAAAATGCTCCCCATCGAGTTCTGCAGCCAGCTTCGGGAAAAAGATGAAAATCGGCGGGAACAAGGTTAGGGCTATACGGTGGATGCGGAGAACTTCCCTGCCCAGCTTCTTTAATTTTGTTGAGTCATATTTGCAACATGAGGTCTTGCATTGTCTGCAAGAGAAGGACCTTTCCATAATTTGGTCGATTTTTGTGATTTGTTCGGCGACCTGATCCAGTTGTTCTGAGTACAGGAAAGCTGTGGACGGTCGGATGCCTTCAGGCTAGATGTAACTCCCAATAAACTACTTTCCCGCTCAGATCCTACCAAATGCACAACATAATAACTTCCGGTGCAATTCTGGCTTGGGCTCAGGTTTCGGACTGCTCGTCGGGACCGATCCACTACTTGTGATCTCCGATAGTTGATAATATAGTATTCACTGCACATCACCAGTGATCACGTGTGGAAGAAAGGAATATCAGTTGTATCAGGGAGAGTAGGGCGACAGGAAATGTGAGGCGCTGAAATCTCATCACATCTGTGAGCACATATAAGAATTGACGCCTAAATTTCAAAACAAATCCCATGGAATGGAGGTGGGTTACCACTGTTTGTATGAGGCAGCTTTGGTTGTTCTCTCAGTGCCTGGTTGATTGTTTGTTGTTGATCCGCAGGAGCTCCAGTTGAAACCGTTTCTTTGAAGTCAGGCAGTCTGAGAACAATTTGAATATATCTTGAAAGAAAGCTCTATCAAGGAATGCGACGCAACTTATTCCACAGCCGACACACGCTTGCACTATTGCCCGCCCAGAATCGACGCTTGTCTTAAAGCCGATGGCGGTCATTCGGAAATTTATTTATAAAATTTGGTTTTTTTGACTTTATTTGTTATAAAACTTGAAATTTATTCAGCCTTTTAGCATTGAGTTTGAGTATATCCTTTTGATTTGTAACAATACTTTATAGCCACCCTGTATAATGGAAAGCTCTATATAATGGAGCTGGGATTGGTCCCCTCACGTAAAAGTTCTCTTTTACTATTGGAAAACCCAGAAAACTCACCAGAGTTTGCTATTTAACAATATTTTTGGAGGTGACTTATCGTATCAACAATTCAAAATTGGATAAAATTGGGTTATCAAGGTGATATGCTGATATCTTTAGCACGAATCTTTTCTTTATCAAATCGTTATGAAACAATCCCCACCTTCGTTATCAATGGACATTTAAGATTCGACATCAAGCGGAGAAGTCTTGGTGACTGGTACGGGTGCCCCTTTGTTCTTCGATTTCCATATTGAGAGAAGAGTTCTTCAAAGAAGTTGTCCCGAGGGATCAATACTGTTTACAAAGATCCTTTGGTTTGGTTTAAAGTTGATAAATTGAACTAAAAATTCTCAAAGTCTCAATGGGAGAATGGGAAAGTCAGGCTAGTTCAGCTCCAGATCAAATCCAAGAAGCCTAGCTCCTGGCGGGTAGACTTTTAAGACAACTAAGTCTGTAACACTTGTAAAAAAGCTGAACTAGACCGGACTTTGGCTCAGATTAATCAAAGAAATTAATCCAGAAATTGATCCAGAAATCCAGAAACAATTAACTTTATTGACAAATACTTGAACTTACTTGAACTTCAGTAAAATTCAATCTAATCTCCTTTTGAATCTTTTACTTCTTGTTTTGGCATTATGAGAAGTGAGTGGAGATTGTGATTGATGATCGGTATGCAATTAATCAATTTAAAATGTTATCAGTATACAATTAATCCATTTAAATAGGGCTTCAGTTTACCCACCCTCAACGGCAAGCTTACCTATATGACATTGAAGACGAAAAACGAGCTCTGGTCAGCTTTTCTTG